AGGTGGTTCTTCAAAGTTGGTCCTTGCCAAGGTGGTTCCTCAAAGATGTTGATGTTTGCCAAGGAGGTTCTTCAAAGTTGGTCCTTGCCAAGGTGGTCCCTCAAAGTTGGTCCTTGCCAAGGTGGTCCCTCAAAAAAACTGGTCCTATCCAAGATGGTCCCTCAGGGAAGTTGGTCTTTACCAAGGTGGTCCCTCAAAGATGTTGGTCCTTGCCAAGGTGGTCCTTCAAAGAAGTTGGTCCTTGCCAAGGTGGTCCCTCAAAACCTCGTGATGAAAGAGCCACCAGTTTTCCAGGATTTGCTTCCCAGGGTTGTGTCCTGCCCTGGAGATCCTTCCAGCTCCAAGCTCCCATTCCAGAGGAGATCCTGAAGTTCTGACCTGGAACTGCTGGAGCTGGTCCATGCCATGTGCCCAGATTCCAGCCCATCAGGTGTTTCCCTGGTTCTTGGGTTGTCCTCCATCAGCTTCCGGAGGTCCTCCATCAGCTTCTGGAGGTCCTCCATCAGCTTCCGGAGGTCCTCCATCAGCTTCCGGAGGTCCTCCATCAGCTTCTGGAGGTCCTCCATCAGTCCCTTCCCCTCCAGGGAAAAGCTGTCAGGGCTTCCAAAAATCAGGTTGATGATGCCAACACGTCCAGGATGAATCCCACCTGGAAAACTTCTTGAAGATGGAATCTGGCGTCAGCAGGAAGGAGACGCTGGACATGGAGCTGGGAGACATCAAACCATCAGGAGAATCCCTTTTTTGTCCCCGGAAATGTGCCATGAGAAGATCCACGAAGCACGAGGACTCGGTGCTGCACGGGGAGGTCCAAGCTCCAGATCCGCTTGGGATCTTCATGCCAGGAGAAAGAGCTGCCACCATGAGTGATCCTACACCTTCTTGGGACGTGGTGGGGATCTTCTCCACTCCCCCAGGGGTTTCTGTCCTGGTGGTCCCATCTGTTGTCCTCACCCTCAGGGACACCGAGGTGGTGGGACACTGTCACCAGTTTCCCAGAGAAGCTGCTCCATCCCTGGGAGTGTCCAAGGACAGCTTGGACAGAGCTTGGAGCCACCTGGGGTCGTGGAAGGTCTCCTTGAGCATTGGAACGGGATGGTCTTGAAGGTCCCTTCCGACCCAAGCCCTTCCATGGTCACGGCTGCGGTTGTCACCAGGGGCGCGTCCACGTGGCTCCAGGACCTTCTCCCTTGAGGACTCCCTGATTCCTGAGGTGACACCACGGTGACCTCAAGAGGTCACCCGATGGTCTATTCCCTTCTTGTAGGCCAGGCCACCCCCCAAGTTCATTTAGATGCTAATTAGAGTTAATTAGGGCTGAAGTTAATTTCCCGTTGGCTCTGGCAGCAGATGGTCCATCATGTTCCACTTCTGGTGCCACCACCACGTTCTCCTTGGCTGGAGGAGGTCGCTGTCCTCAACCAATGTGGTCCTCTCCTTCTCCGTGGCCGTTCTTGGTGGCTCTGGTCCATGGACCAGTTTGTGGAAGACTCCCATCCCCAGAAGCTGCCAAGTGAGAGACCTTCGAGCATCTCCTGCATCTCCTTCCACCCGGGAAGCTCCACCGGCCTTCAGCTGGCCAGGCTGGAGGACACAGAAGGACCTTGGGGGTGAAGTGACCTCCAGGGGGACATCAGGGCTGGGTTGAGGGGTGAAGCTCCCGTGTCCCCATCCCACGTCCCCACCACCGTCGCCGTGGTCAGGACGGGGGCGGAGCGATGCCGGTGGAAGGACCTCGGCGTTGGAAGAGGAGGAGCTGCTGAAGAGTCAAGAAGCTTGACGTGTTTGGAGAAGGAACATCTCAGCCACGTGACAGCACCTCTGGTGGCTCTTCGGGTGACCTCCTGGATTTTCCACCTCCTGGGTCTTCTCCACCTTCTGCTCTTCTTCTGTTCCTCACCTGAAGCCCAACCCCCAGTCTGGGGGTCACCTTGTCCACGGGTTCCGCCCAGGGCCACCGACGCTGAGGTGGGGACAGCGGTGTCACCTCTGGGTGGTGTGGCGTGTCCTTCCCTGCCGTGGGTCACATCTCCAGGGACACCAAACCCACCTGGTGGTGGCCTGGATGCCGCGGAGGAGATGATGAAGCCACCTTGGCTGGCTGCAGGACCACAGAGTTGTCCATCCCGGTTGTCCCTTGCTGTCCTCCACGCTGGTGGAGCTGCCGGGGTGTCCCAGCTGGGCCGGTTCCAGCAGGAGGAGGACACAGGTCCACAGGGATCTGCTGGGTGGGTCCTCCCCAGCTTTAACCTGCAGAGGTCAAGGTTGAACCCTGAGCATCTCCTGTCCCTCAGGATGTTCAGAAGGACCATCGGTGCCGCTCGTGGCTTGGAGGAGTCACCAGCCTCCTCCTGGAGAGGAGGTTCTCCTGCTGGAGAACCACCCCGGGAGGTGATTTTGGGTGGAGGAGCTTTCCTGCTCAAGGTGTCCCCAAAGCCACTCGGTCCTCTGCTCCCACCACGTTGCCACCAACTTCTCCTGTCCGGGCCGAAGCCCACCTTGGCTGGGCCACCTGCACGTGGCCACGGTGGGGTTGAGGAGAAGCTCCTTGGAGAGGACCTCTGAAGGCTGCAGCGGTTGGTTGGTGGGTTGGTTGGTCGGTGGGTTGGTTGGTTGGTTGATTGATGGATTGATGGATTGATTGATTGATTGATTTGTTGGTTGGTTGGTTCGTTGATTTGTTGGTTGAGTGATTGATTGATTTGTTGGTGGGTGGTTGGTTGGTTGGTTGATTGATTTGTTGGTTGGTTGATTGATTTGTTGGTGGTTGGTTGGTTGATTGATGGTTTTATTGATTGGTTGGTTGGTTGGTTGGTTGATTGATTGATTGGCTGATTTGTTGGTTGATTGGTTGATTGATTGATTTGTTGGTGGTTGTTTGGTTGATTGATTGATTGATTGATTGGTTGATTGGTTGATTGATTGATTTGTTGTTGATTGGTTTGTTTGTTGGTTTGTTAGTTGGTTTATTGATTGATTGATTTGTTGGTGGTTGGTTGGTTGATTGATTGATTGATTTATTGGTTGATTGGTTGATTGATTTGTTGGTGGTTGGTTGATTTGTTGGTTGGTTGATTGGTTGGTTTGTTAGTTGATTGGTTGATTGATTTGTTGGTTGGTTGGTTTGTTGGTTGGTTGGTTTATTGATTGATTGATTTGTTGGTTGATTGATTGATTGATTGGTTGGTTGGTTGGTTGATTGACTGATGGTTTTATTGATTGGTTGGTTGGTTGGATGATTGGTTGATTGATTGATTTGTTGGTGGTTGGTTGATTGGTTGATTGATGGTTTTATTGATTTGTTGGTTGGTTGGTTGGTTGATTGGTTTGTCAGATCAATTTATTGGATGGTTGGTTGGTTGGTTGATTGATTGATGGTTTTATTGATTGGTTGGTTGGTTGATTGGTTGATTGATCAGTTGGTTGGTTGGCTGATTGATTGGTTGGTTGGTTGATCACTTGGTTGGCTGATTGATCAGTTGGTCGATTGAGCCATTGGTTGGTTGATTGATCAGTTGATTGGTTGCCTGGTTGATCAGATTGGTTGACTGATTGATTGATCAGTTGGTTGGTTGGTTGGTTGAGCCATTGGCTGGTTGATCGATCAGTTGGTTGATTGATTGATCGATCAGTTGGTTGGCTGATTGATTGATCACTTGGTTGGTTGATTGATCATGATCACTCAGTTGGTTGATTGGTTGATTCATTGATCAGTTGGTTGGTTGCCTGGTTGACCAGTTGGTTGGCTGATTGATTGATCAGTTGGTTGGTTGGTTGATCGATCCGTTGGTTGGTTGGCTGATTGATTGACCCATTGATTGGTTCATTAATTGATCAGTTGGTTGGTTGGCTGATTGATCGGTCGGCTGGTCGATCACTTGGTCGGCTGATCGATCGATCAGTCGGCCGACTGAGCCACTGCTCGGTTGATTCATTGATTTATTGGCTGGTCAGATTTTTGATCTGTTACCCGACCGACCTACCAATCAATCAATCAATCAATCAATCCCTCCATCAGCTCTCCCACCCCACCAGCACCGCTGACCTCTCCCGCCTGTTGTCCCCCAGTCCGAGGACCTCGGCGCCTGCGCGCAGTTCGACGGCGGCCGGGGGGCGCGCGCCGCCGCCGCCGCCGCGCCCGGCGCCGTCTTCTCCACCTTCCACCTGCGCAAGCCCTCCTCGGAGACGGACATTGAGAACTGGGCCTCCAAGCACTTCAACAAGCACACGCAGGGCCTCTTCCGCCGCAAGGTCTCCATCGCCAACATGCTGGCCTGGAGCAGCGAGTCCATCAAGAAGCCCATGATCATGACCAACGACCGCAACGTCAAGAAGGAGGCGTGCGAGATCTTCAAGCTCATCCAGATGTACATGGGCGACCGGCGGGCCAAGACGGACCAGCTCAACGTGGCTTTGGAGATCGCCACCAAGGGTTGGAGCGTGCAGGGGTTGAGGGACGAGCTCTACATCCAGCTGTGCCGGCAGACCACCGAGAACTTCCGTTACGAGAGCCTGGCCCGCGGCTGGGAGCTCATGGCCATTTGTCTGGCCTTCTTCCCGCCGACGCCCAAATTCCACTCCTACCTTGAAGGCTACATCTACCGGCACATGGACCCGGTGAACGACACCAAAGGTAAGCGGGGCACGGCGGCGCGGCGCCTTCTGCGGTGGTCCTCCATGCTCCAGGTGAGGTTGGATGGGGGTTGGAGCGACCGCGGATAGCGGAAGGTGGACCTGGATGGTCTTTGTGGTTCCTTCCGCCCGAAACATTCCATGATTTCGTGTCCCAACCCGTTGATTTGGTTCCTCAAGTTCCTTCAACCCAACCTTCAGAGGTTCCTTCACCCAAACCATCCCATGGTTCCACATCCCAACCCATTGATTTGGTTCTTCAAGATCGTTCAACCCAACCTTCAGAGGTTCCTTCCACCCAAACCATCCCATGGTTCCACGTCCCAACCCATTGATTTGGTTCCTCAAGTTCCTTCCAACCCAACCTTCAGGGGTTCCTTCACCCAAACCATCCCATGGTTCCACCATCATTCCCACCTCCAGATGTTTCTTCTCGAGTCGCTTTGGATCCCAAAGTTGGGATGGAACCCAGAAGATCCCAATCTCCTGAAGGTCTTGGTCACGGCCGCGGATGGAGATGCAAACTGGAGAAATTGGGGAATTTTAGGAGATCCTCTCCATCCTGGAGATCCTTCTCCCAGATCCACCATCTGGACAATCCCTGGGCTGATGTCACCTCGTGGTGGGTCATGGAGAACTTGGGGGTTTTTTTGGAGATCCCCCATTTCTCCGGGCGTCCCGAGGTGTCCTTCAGCTCCCGGAGGCCACCAGGAGATGGATTTGGGAGAGGCCACCCAAGGGTGTCGAGGTTCTCCAGGAATTCCCGGAGTTCTCCCCGGTGGCCTCGGCTTGGTCCCAGCGGAGCCGCCGGAGGCGTTTCCCGCCAAAACCGAGGCTCCGCCCCCAACTCCCCCACCAGCCAATCAGAGCCCGGCCCTGGGAATGGTGATTGGTTCTGGGGTCCGCTTTTGAGCCCATCTCATTTGCATAAATTTGCATTTTTGTTGCTCTTTTAATGGGGTTTTATTTGCATTTTATTTGCATTTTCTTTATTTTCAGTTTTAAAATCTGATTTTTTTAAATTTTATTTTTTAATTTTATTTTTATTTTTATTTTCATTTTTATTTGTGTTTTATTTTTTGTTTATTATTTTTATTTTATTTTTATTTTTACTTTTATTTTTTATTTTATTATTATTTTTATTTTTATTTTTATTATAATTTTTATTTTAATTCTAATTTCGATTTTAATTTTTAAATTTAATTTCAATTTTAATTTCTATTTTAATTTCGATTTTAATTTGGATTTTAATTTTAATGTCCATTTTAATTTCGATTTTGATTTCAATTTTAATTTAATTTCAATTTTATATTCCATTTAATTTCTATTTCAATTTCTATTTCGATTTTAGTATTGATTTTAATTTGATTTCCATTTATTTTCAATGTTAATTTTGATTTTAATTTTGATTTCTATGTTAATGTCAACTTTAATACTGATTTTAATTTAATTTTAATTCTTATTTATTTTCAATGTTAATTTTGATTTTAATTTTGATTTCTATGTTAATGTCGATTTTAATATTGATTTTAATTTCAATTTTCATTTTAATGTCCATTTTAATTTCTATTTTAATTTTAATTTCAATTTTAATTTCGATTTCCATTTTAATTTTGATTTCTATGTTAATTTCAATTTTAATTTGGATTTTAATTTTTATTTTAGTTTTAATGTCCATTTTACTTTGATTTTGACTTTAATTTCGATTTTAATTTAGATTTTATTTTCAATTTTAGCTTTAATGTCCATTTTAATTTCGATTTCCATTTTAATTTTAGTTTTTATTTTAATTTTAATGTCCATTTTAATTTAGATTTTCATTTTGATTTTAATTTTGATTTGGATTTTAATTTCGATTTTTATTTTCAGGTCTATTTTAATTTTGATTTGGATTTTAATTTTGATTTTAATGTTAATATAATTTCATTTTTAATTTTGATTTTAATTTTGATTTTAATTCTGATTTCAATTTTACTTTTGATTTTCATTTCTATTTCGATTTTAATTCTGATTTTAAATTTAGTTTTAATTTCCATTTATTTTCAATTTTAATTTGAATTTTAATTTGAATTTTAATTTCGATTTTAATTTTGATTTCCATGTTAATTTCTATTTTAATTTCCATGTTAATTTCTATTTTAATTTTAATGTCCATTTTAATTTTGATTTTGACTTTAATTTCTATTTTAATTTCTATTTTAATTTCGATTTCAATTTTAATTTCTATTTTAATTTCCATTTTAATAATGATTTTAATTTTAATGTCCATTTTAATTTTGATTTTGACTTTAATTTCTATTTTAATTTCGATTTTAATTTCGATTTCAATTTTAATTTCTATTTTAATTTCCATTTTAATAATGATTTTAATTTTAATGTCCATTTTAATTTCTATTTCGACTTTAATTTTGATTTTAATTTTAATATAATTTCATTTTTAATGTCGATTTTAATTCTGATTTTAATTTTAATATCATTTAGATTTCAATTTCGCTTTTAATTTTGATTTCTATGTTAATTTCGATTTTAATTTGGATTTTAATTTCTATTTCCATTTCAATTTCGCTTTTAATTTTGATTTCNTTCGATTTTAATTTGGATTTTAATTTCTATTTCCATTTCAATTTCGCTTTTAATTTTGATTTCTACGTTAATTTAGATTTTAATTTCGATTTTAATTTCGATTTCTACGTTAATTTCGATTTCAAGTTCAGTTTCAATTTGGATTTTAATTTCGAGTTCCATTTTAATTTCGCTTTCCATTTCAATTTCACTTCTAATTTTGATTTCTATGTTAATTTCAATTTTAATTTCGCTTTCAATTTTGATTTCTACGTTAATTTCGATTTTAATTTCGATTTTAATTTCGCTTTCCATTTCAATTTCGCTTTCAATTTTGATTACTACGTTAATTTCTATTTTAATTTCGCTTTCCACGTTAATTTCGATTTTAATTTCGCTTTCAATTTTGATTACTACGTTAATTTCTATTTTAATTTCGCTTTCCACGTTAATTTCGATTTTAATTTCGATTTTAATTTCGCTTTCCATTTCAATTTCGCTTTTAATTTTGATTTCTAAGTTAATTTCAATTTTTGATTGATTTTGATTTCTACGTTAATTTCCATTTTAATTTCAATTTTAATTTCGCTTTCCATTTTGATTTCTACGTTAATTTCGATTTTAATTTCGATTTTAATTTCGCTTTCCATTTCAATTTCGCTTTCATTTTTAATTTCTACGTTAATTTCAATTTTAATTTTGATTTCTACGTTAATTTCAATTTTAATTTCGATTTTAATTTCGCTTTCCATTTTGATTTCTACGTTAATTTCGATTTTAATTTGGATTATTTCCATTTCTCTTTCTACATTAATTGCGATTTCCAGCTCGCTTTCAATTAGTGTTTTAATTTCGAGTTCCGCCTCCGCCGTAATTAGCGCTCGGATTAATTAGGGCTGACTTTTGTCCCCGCAGTGTCGCGGCACCTGCGGCTGCTCCTGGCCGGGACCAATCAGAAGAAACCCAAAATGCGCAAGAAGCCCAAGGCCCCGAGCCCCCCCAGCCCCGGTAGGGCGCAGCGGGCGCCTCGTTAGCTCATTAACTAATTAACTGCCTCACTAATTGGGGCACCCCGCGCGGCACGTGCAGCTGGCCGCACTCGTGTAGTAGTAGAATTAATATCACTAATCGTT